GACACGTACAGTTTTTCTCTGTTCGGGTACATATCTTCGTACAACATGCAACTTTCATTTCGTTTAAGTTTACGAAGAATGTGGAGCGCAAATACAAAGCGACTGCACACAGTCTACAGATTACGTGCATTCAATGTTCGATGTGGCAGAGATAACTGACGAACTACTGTAGCCAGACAGAACAAAACAAACTCCGTGGTTTTAGTCCGCAAGCGAACTATACCGACCGAGCGACCGCCGCTTGTTGGCGAAGTTAGTGCCAACTTTAGCGGATAGAGGGTGTCGCGTGATCAGCGCAACGAATCCCCACGGCCGTTAATTTCGGGTTTTCTAGACTGGAGCCTCTATGTCCTTGAAATAGCTCCTTAATTATCCTCATGAGGCTGAGTGGACCCAGTTCCAGAACCACTACTTCTCAGAAAATCTAGCAGCTCCAGGAATTGAACACGGGACCTGAGGATCTGCAGCCAGGAACTCTGACCACTAGACTACTGTACTCAGAACATGTAAAAGATCATATACATAGAAATATCTTATAAATTCTACATAAAACACCTTCCAAGAGCCAAGAAAATTACAACTCTACGGTTCAGAATGCTGAAATGTCTGAGATCTTTCACGTATGAGCTAAAATATTTGACGGGAAGTTACACACATGTATATGAACATATAAATAAATTGTAAGGGAAGGTAAAGTTGTCCCTATGCTCAACTAATTAAGTACTACGCCATCAAGGAGTATGGGAAAGTGGAGATATAGCTCCACATTTCTTGACCTCGGCACACCCCGGCCGCTTTACCCCCGGTACCCATTGGATAGGAGGTTGGGTGGACCCAGAGCCGGTCTGAGATGTGGAGAAAATTTCTGACCCCATCGGGACTCGAACGCCGATCCTTCGGCCGTACAGCAGATAGTCAGTTGCTATAACGACTGCGTTATTCCGTACAAATATTAATCCATAACTTTTGATAGCCTCTCTTTAGAAACATAAAGAGTTTAAGGGACATCTTTTCGTGACTTCTTCTTCTGAAAGTAACAACGCCATGTAACCCTAAGTAGGTTATCAGAGATCTTCAGTCGTAACACCGATGTCGTCCATTAGCAGGTCCATTAACCACGCAACAAAAATATATAAGTTCAACTATTACTATATATGACCGAAAGCCTTAGAAGCCTATGATAAGTCGATTAGTTTTAGGTTCCTATTATTTTGCTAGTGTGGAAACTCATTTCATAATTGAACTACACTACACATTAAGGTAAATACTTTCATGTTTAAGGGCCAAGCATTTTAATGCTGATGATTACAATAGAAATTCTGAAGTGTTTTTTTTAATCACGTGCTCGTTACAAAAGAACTGATGCAACCTTGCTGCTGCGTTTCTTTAGGTGGCAGATCCCCAACTGCTTTAAGAAGTGATTATGTTTGAGTAAAATTTCGGGCTGTTCAAACTTCTTGATCTTTTCCTTTATGTAACTAACTCAGTAACTCCACAGAGCTAACTTCTTCAGAAGCTAGAAGCTGCTTAGTACCTCAAGAAATAAACATCCATCTCGGTGTTCCAGGACCGCCTCTGTGGTCTAGTGGTCAGAGTTCCTGTCTACAGATCCAGAGGTCCGGGTTCGCTACCAGATTTTTTTTAGAAGTACTTGGTCTGGAAAGAGGTCCAATCAGCCTCGTGAGGATAACTGAAAAGTTATTTCAAGGAAACAGCAGCTCCGGTCTAGAAAACCGAGATTAACGGCCATGGGGATCCGTTGCGCTGACCACGTGACACCCTCTATCCGCAAAAGCTGACATTAACTTCGCCGGCATGAGGCGGTCGGTCGGTCGGTCGGTATAGTTCGCTTGCGGACTACAGTCCACGGAAATTATTTTTATTTGCCAGTGTTCCAGTGAGCTAAGACATTTCATGCCATAAGCCGCGCGGCCACTGTGATCGGCTTAATAAACAGTAAGTAACAATAATTATGTAAGGCCGAAACACAGAAGGAGAAGTGCTTAGGAAAATACATGGCATCAAGGGAGACTACAAGACGTCAAGATCAGAGAATGGTCAGATTTATAATTTTATTGCTTTGCCTCACACCGTCAGTGAAATTGAACCGAATGATGATGTATGTAGCATGAAGAAAACAGGAATTTAATTTCAAGTTTTGGTTGTAAAGCCTTGTGGAAGACACAAGAGCAGAACAGAGAATATGAAAATGGATCTTAAAAGAAAATATATAGTAAAAATGCGAAGAAAGGTTCTAGGGTTCAACGTCGGGATTTTCCTAACACGATGATGCACAGTGAAGTTAAGAGAATGAAGAGAATTTCTCCACAAGTTTAATAATTACCAACTGCTAAAAGTAGACCTGTAGAATATAGTCATAACAGTGATACCGCTGCCGTTCTAAACGCAAGACATTTCTAGAAGAGGGAGTTATCTACAATAAAAGAGAGTCTGAAGTTAATTTATTATCAAAATCACCAAACTAAGCCCGCTACAAAAGGGTCGCCACAGGAAAAATTGATTAATTCGAGGCATATAAACATAAATCTACGTCTTCCCTGTCTATTAGCAAAAACAAATATTCATATCTACTGCCGTCTTCTGCATTCTTTGTGAAGTCACGAAAATAGATAATGGGAGCGTGTTAATGATCACGCAAGCTAAAGTACACATAAACTCCAAACGCTACCTATCCAATTAGGGATCTACTCAACCGCCATGTCAGAAAACTGATCTGGCTAGGAAAAGGGTGAAAGATCACAATAACGTACTGTACTTAACCTGCAGTTCTCAACTTTCATTGAACCGCATATAAAACATCTTTGACTTTCCGAAGACCACGATCCGTTTTTGAATGAATCGATCTTATTAGTTATTCCAAAAGTAGACGTCATCTGTATTTGCAGGGAGAGATTAATGGGGTTTAAACATAATTTTTATGGCTCTTCCAGCCCATTCAGGGCCCTGGTCTCTTAGTCAGTTCCGTAATCATTTTTCACAGACGGTAGGGTTCCTCGGACGAGCGATCAGCCCGTCGCAAGGCCTCTGCCTAGCCACAAAATAAACACTTACAACATCCATTCCTTTAGTGGGATTCGAACCTAATATCCCAGCGTCCGAGCGAACGAAAAGTTCATGCCTTACACCGCACAGCTACTGTGACCGGCTAAACACAAAACAGGCAGAGAAATGAAAACAATTCAACTTAAATATTTTACTTAAGATATTATGCCCACATCCTTCTTACATTTAACTTCAGTTTTATGTGATTTACGAGTGCTCTGCCTTAAATGACATCCTGTACTGTAGCTTTTCCCCAACAAAGGTGATGTCTGGCATCTTAATCCACGTGAATCTCCCAAGCAGTCACGATTAACTTAATCTCATCAACTTAGCCCATCAACTGGCTTTCAAAGCTGTCAAGTCAATAACATATATTCAAGGTAAAGTGGTCTCTGTGTTTAACTAATTAAGCACTATGCCATGAAAGAGTATGGAGGAGTGGATGTACAGATCCACATTTTCTTTACCTATATCCTATATGGAGGTGAGTGATCAGCTTCACGCCCCTACCGCTTAACCCCCCCTCAACACCTCGGACAGGCGGCTGGGCGGGCCCCAGAGCAGGTCTGGACGATATGGAAAAGAGAAAATTCTGATCAAGTAATCTGAGTGCTCTGAAAACACTCAATTTATGATTTCTCTTCACAATTAAACGTGTTATTAAGTACCGTTGATTCATTTAACGAACTTCATTTTCGCCACAAAGAACAACTTACGTTCGTGAGATTTCTTTTGCGAAGGAGAAAATAATATATTCGCGGCACGTGGGAAGGTGGGGAAAAGCAGATATCCCCAGCCATATGCATCCCTCACCTTCCTTGTCTGCTTGCGCCTTGTTGTGGTCATACAGAATCAGCTGCGCCTATGTTTTATCCATAAATGTTAAAAATAATTTATAGTCATTGCCGCGAAACCATTCAGCTTTTCTTGCGCACCTTATCACCTTTGTAGCTGGTGTAGCTGCCACTAAATTAATACAGTTTATTGTTGCTGCTACCAGGCCGACATGCAGTCTATATTTGTCTTCTAGCAAAAAAAGACGTGCGAGCAAGAAGCATCGTTCGCACCACAACAAAGCTCTTTCGTTGCAATGCATCAGCTATGAGAAAATACAAGTGAAAATAATAGTTTTATGTGCAATAATACATGTAATAAGCAAGTAATACTGTCCTTATATTAAGGTCTATTTACTATTAAAACATGTTAAAATATATGAGGTTTTTTTTTCTGGGACTCGTGAAGAGTCGGCGACTTTTACATGTAATGTAATAGGAATATCATGTGTAAGATTTGAGGCTTTCACGGCGGTGACTATGAAGAAAGCAGTCTTTTGGGATTTGGCACCGTGTATAAGCGGTGTTAACCGACGTTTCGGAGGAATGTATCGCCTCCATCTTCAGGGTAGAAGAAAATATAAGAATTCTGCAAGCGAAGAGACCGCGAGAACCGGTAAAAGCGGTTCTCGCGGTCTCTTCGCTTGCAGAATTCTTATATTTTCTTCTACCCTGAAGATGGAGGCGATACGTTCCTCCGAAACGTCGGTTAACACCGCTTATACACGGTGCCAAATCCCAAAAGACTGCTTTCTTCTTAATAGGAATATCGTTTTCGATTTACGAATTTTCACCTTAAGAAGTTTTCATGGGAAGAATTATCTTCATAAATCAGTGTTGTAACCTTCATTAACATTAATATATGTCTAAAAAAACGCCCCTTCTCGGTAACTACTAAAAAGAAATCTATGAACTATAAGCACAATTTCTAGAATGAGTTGTCTAGCTGAAGTCAGCCGAGACATACTTTGACGATACCAGCATGAGGCGCATCTGACTTATTAACATGCATGCAAATACCCTTCAAATCTCACATGATACACTTATACACAGTCACTATGATATTTATTGCCATAAGTTTCATAACCAATCCAACTGTTGCAGAAAATGTAAATGGACAATCCAGAAGTTAGAGAAGATTATTACCTGCTATGGAATACAATATAACGCGAGGAACAGTAAGACCTAGAAGAACTAGTGGATGGTCCAAGTACAACAGACAAAAAGTCATGAGAAACAGTTTTATTGGTATGTATAGCATCCCATCAGGAAATATCTGATTGCTTTTAGTTACTATAGGATTCTGACGATGGTGTATAACATATGAACCCAGTTACTGAGGCTAGCTCTTTCTAAGGGACCCAACAGAATAGGTGTTTTCCCTCACTTGAGGACGGAAACATATCCAGTTTCTGAAACGTCGTATTTTTCTTAGTTGTCTTAAAACCAGGACGATGGATAAAGTCTGAAAACCCAATATCTCTGATTGCTTTTGTTTGGAAGACTCTTACTGTGATCTGTGACTTATCTACTTTACCCCAGTCACCCTAAAACTCCCTCCCCCATAAGACACTCACACCCACAAAATCATTCCGAAAATAATACCAGAAATATGGACCACCTGAGGAGGAAGCCTATTGAGATATGTGCGTATCCCAGTAACTTTATGAGATGGCAAACCACAGAATTCAGTTCCTAGCATTATTCAACTATTCAGAGAATATTCTTAGACTCTTTCCACATTTCAGCAGTACTGAACCATATGATATACAGGCTGAGTGACCACTTAATGTCATTCACTGTCTGCTGCAGGCTACACAACAATGAGTCAAATTATATAAGGACTGATAGGCCTATGATTTTTTTATTGCTAGTGGGGTGGGATTAAGTCCCTTGTACTGCGGCCACTTCTGGCCTATTGTACCAGCCCCAGATGATAGGTGAGGGTGATTGTGGAGCAATTGGTGGAATGAAGATTGGCCGGGGAAACCGAAGTACTCGGCAAAAACCCGCCCCAGCGCCATTTTGTCCCACCACAAATCCCACTTGAGCTATGCGTCGCCTAGGCCTATGATTAGTTCTTAGTCAGTGATGAATGGGCTTGGTTAGAATTCAACATGAATATACTGGCCAATCTGTGTCATTCATATAAGGTCCCTGATGATGGAGACAGACACACACTCAAAACCAACAGAGGTTCTTAATGCATACACCTGACAAAACCAATTCAGTGGAGTTAAGTCCATCCTGGGGAGCTAACTGTCACTCTGCTAAGGAAAGAAATTTATCTACTCTAAGGGGACCCAAAGGTTCATTACTCAGCTCATAGAGCCCACCATTGGTTACTTATTCTGAGTAAAAGTGATCATGCCTTGAGCACCACCTTTGTATAAACTTCCTTCATGCCTTAATTTTCCATTAAAATCAAATGCAGTCTCTATATTTATTATATACGAGACAAACACCGTCTTAAGTGCAACAATTTAATTGTAGTTTTCTTCTTTCCCTCCTCCACACTACATGTATTAAAGATAAGCAGGGACACACACACACACACACACACACACACAGAGAGCCTACACAGAACAATACCTGAACAGCGATGAAACAAGAAGTGGCCGCTGCAGCACTATAGACATAGGGCGTGTACCCTGAGAAAATTTTAATTTAAAAATTTGGAAAAAGAAAAAGAACAGAAATTTTATAGACATTTTAACTTGAATTAAAGTTTTAAAAAAGTGCCAATTTTAGAAATCAAATTAACGCATGTAGGTTAACAAAGATTTTATACAATTAGAAAGACTGGTGATTTTAAATTTTAAACTACGGGCAGTGTAACAGCTACGTAAGAATACACACCTGATGATGGCCATTTAGGGCCGAAACATGTAGTGTGGAGGGAAAGAAGAAAGAACTACAATTAAATTGTTGCACTTAAGACGGTGTTTGTCTCATATATATTGTGTGAGTGTAACAGGATGCTCAAATATAATACTCTATACTTATATTCAATCTTCTGCGGTCATTCCAACACTAACACAGTGATTATTCTGCATTGGAGTTCTCACCTTTTCAATGTTTTCATCCAACTTTTGATGTTCTCAGACATTCAAGTAAGCTATCAAACTCACTTCATTCCCTTTCTTCAAGAAACCATTTATACCATTTAAGAACACATTTTCTTAGCAGTATAACTTTCCATACATTTGATTTAAAGTTTCAAAGATTTTGAATTTTTTTCTTTCCTGAACAAAAATGTCAAGTTGATTCTTTGTTAAAATATTTTAATCAACCATTTTTGTGGTGAGCTATCCAAACACTACTTCGGTTAAAGCACAACAGCTCTGCACTTGCAAGACTTGTCAAGACACATTTGTCAATGAGTAAAATTCAGACATGTATGGGTGGCAACACTGGACAACTATCACACAGTGACTCCTGCTTTACGTTGCTGCCGGTCCCATTATATAATTGTCAGATCTTGTAACAGAATATGAATGTCATGAACACTATGCAGTGCTTTACTGTTGCAGATTCAATCCATAACAAATTTAGGAAAATAATACCTGAGGAACAGCATGAGTCAGTTATACAAACTGACAACACAGGGACAAACCAAAGAGACAACATTAGAGGAAGCAATACAATTAACTTGGCCACGATATTTACTGATTACTGTGACAAATGTTCTCTTCATGGTCTGAAGTATATCGGGGATTTGCAATTACATCCTGTGGAAAGGTGAGTTCACTAGCAACTAGCCAGCCAGCCAGCCAACCAACCAAATATTCTCTTGTAATATATCCCAAAGGTCCAGCAGTGCTTGTACCAAAGCAGTGCTCACGTAGTACAGCACACGTAGTACAGACAAGCAGCGGCACCCACACAAGAAGACTACATTAAATAACACCTGTACAGTGTGGAAACAAGAACTAGCCGCTCCAGCACTTAGACATAGGGCGAGTAACCCTAAGAATTTTAAATTTTAAATTTAAAATTTAGAGGAAATTTTAAAAGATTTTAAAAACATCATAACTGAAGATTTTATAGTGCTACTACAGGAATATCAAATTTGACGTGTGCAATATAATCTACATACCAGACACATATCAACGAGGTAGATGTTGATAATACGAAGAATGTGACATGGTGTTTTTAAATGTTAAATTTTAGACTGGGTTCAGTGTGGCAGCAACGTTAAGAGTATACACCTGATGATGGCCGATAGAGGCCAAAACATGTAGTGTAGAAAGAACAAGATCAAAGACATATAATATATATTGTTTGCACTTGGGACGGAGTTTGTATCATTTATCGTGTAGAGTGCAACAGGATGCTTAAATATAATATTGTAATCTAGACGGTAGCTGAATTCATCCCACACTCGATGACAAATATCTTGCGTCACTGAGTTCACCGCAGCTGTGATACGGTTTCTTAGGTCATTCAAATTTGTGGGAAGAGGTGGTACGTAAAACTGCATCTTTCACGAATCCCCACAGGAAAAAGTCGGAGGGTGTGAGATGCACGCTGCACTGCAGTCACAGACTCACTTTTACTGAAGTCATGAATGCAAAAATTCTTGTGTTGCATAGTAGCCATCTCGCTTACAACTGACGCGGTGCTGGAGTGCTCTAGCAGTAGTATTAGAAACTTCACAACATCCTCTTTCAAATGTACTTTACAGAATTCAAATGCAACATATAGTTCAGGAAATATAGCCAATTGAAATTGTGTCCATCTTTCTGAATCACTCTGTATATATATATAGTACTGATATTTTGCAGATATATGGTGCCTTCATCTTCAGGGTTGAAGTTCATATATTCAGGAATAGGCTTGGTTATTTGGACATGTTACAAAGAAAGGGGGTAAAAAAAAAAGTAACCAGATCCAAGCCACTTGGAGAAAATTGACAAAATCAACCACTTTTGGGGCACACTTACCAAAGTGTAAGAGAAAGCAGACTTTTCCAAGGATCCACTGTTGTTTTCACGAGGGAAATGAAACAGTATGCAATATGGATAAGCATGTCCGCTATAAGTTTCCCCCCCAGGTAGAAATTCATACCTAAAACTATCCCAGCTTTCAGATGGAAATTTTGTCAGTTTTTTAAACAATTCGACTCTGCTCCTGAAAATAACATGGGATCCTTGGAAAAGCCCACTTTTCTTATTATTCAATTTCCCACCTGTGAAAATAAATCAGTGTACCTCTTATAAGGGAAATTTTTTGTTGATTTTCCCCAATTAGCTTTGAACAGGTTCCATCTTTTCACCTCCCTTCCTTGGGTCCCATGACTTACCTACATAACCAAACCTATTCCTGAATTTACATGCTTCTACCTTGCTGAAACATCAGCATCTGTTCACAAACCACATGTTGTAACAAGCAACAAGCCCACAGTCATCTATTCCTTGTCTCCCCATCTGATCTTCACATTTAGCTCACTGCAACACGCTTAATTTCACATACCTTAAAAACACAATCTGGCCTGAACAAATCATACAGTTCCTTGTTACATAACATCCCCCTTTTTCGTTTGCCATCCCTTTAAGGTAAAAATATTTCCTTGGGCACTTTTCTGTTTTGGCACACCTGTTTTTTAACAAAAACAAAAAACCCGTGGCTTTAGTCCTCGAGCAAACTATACCGACTGAGAGACCTCCGCTTGTTAGTGAAGTTAGTGCCAACTTTAGCGGATAGAGGGTGTCACGTGGTCAGTGCAACGAATCCCCACGGCCGTTAATTTTGCTTTTCTAGACCAGAGCCTCCACTTTTCCATTAAAGTAGCTCCTAAATTATCCACATGAGGCTGAGTGGACCCCGTTCCAGAGCCAGTACTTCTAAAAAAATCTAGTAGCGCCGGGAATCGAACTCAGGACCTCTGGATCTGTAGCCAGGAACTATGACCACTAGACCACAGTGGCAGTCATTTTTCCACACAAGGAAAACAAATTCTGAATATATAAAAAAGGCAATTTGATAATCGATATATTATGGAAAATGCCTATTGCATGGCCACTGGTTCTACTTCCACTATGGAGCACAGATGTTTGTGTGCACTTTTATTGCTGTTACATGACATTAACTCTCTTCAGTCTCTAACTTGAAGGTTCTGTTCTCAGCCAGCCATCATGCATATAAATAAAATTGTGGTTGATATGCTGAACGACTGTGTTCACCAGTTAATGCTGACATTAACAAGTCACATGTGGAAATTTTTGGCTACTTGCTGACTTGATTTTGTCAGTATTTTCACTTTCTGCCCAGCCATGATATACACTATTAAATATATGTTTACAAACGAGAATATCACAAAAGGAAAGAGATACATGCGAGTATGTGCATTACACTTCACTGACAAGAGACACACTATGTATTTAATACTTTTACAAAAAAAAAAAAGGAATGAGGAATCATCATCAGAACTGTGTACAGATGACAGAAATCCTCAGAGTTATGGAATATAGACAAATACAACTCAATAAAATATCTGCTGTTATTTAAAGTCATCTACAAGTATAAACAGGCCATCAATAATGCCACAAACATTAGTAAATTTTTCTGAATCAAAATAACAACTGTACGGTCACTTAAACTGTCAGGCCAAGTTTTGAGAACTAATTAATGTAAATCCATAATTGATAGAATGCATGCCAGTGTACAGTTTAACTGCTCATTGTATTCCATTATGCTCCCTTGTATTACCAGATAAAGGAGGTGGAATACATTCTGCTCTAAGAGCCTGAAGAATAATGAGCGCCATATTTTTCTTGATACATTCAATTCTATACAGCAGGAGAAGAATGAACCAACAAGCACACATTTCTTTCTGGCCAGCTGTGTGGTGTGCACTAATTTTCCCTATGCAGCTTTATGCTGTAGTCACTTGTAGTAATTCAGTTCAGTGTTCAGTGTTGAGGGGTTGGGTTTTCCCATGCACTTAGACCAGTTATTGGTCCATTGTGCGTCCCCCCTTAATTTCTACTGTCTCCATACCCTACCAGTACTGGTGCTCGCTATCAGCCCCTTTCTGCCAGCAAGGTTCCGATCCTCTACTGGCAGTGGTATCTAATAGTTAGTCTCTTTCTGTCAGAGAGGTCGCCCCTCCTTTGGCAGCGGTACCCAATACTTCCCCATCTACCAGAGGCATTGGAAACTACTTAGGGCGGGAAACTTTTGGCCAAATTTAGCTCAGAGGTCTCTTCGAGACATGAGGTTCTTTTACGTGCCGTAAATCTATGACACGGGACCCACGGCTTAAAGTCCCTCCCGGAGGACTTGTTCCCTGAATTTTTCTGCCCTTAAAAATTCCAGGACCTCCGCCGGGTTTGAACCCGTGTACCTTGAGTCATGAGGTGGGAACATTACCCCTAGACTACAGAGGCCACTACCTGTAGTAATTAGTAAATAGCAATGGCATAGGAAGCTCAGTTACTTCTAACAGCCAAGTATGTCAGCTACATGGTAAATCATCCAACTCAAACTTGGAAAATGTCTGGATTAAATTCCATCCCTGCAGTCACAACCATTCTGCAGCTGGCATGATTATCAATCGCAAGACACATCATAACTCATTCTACAGAGACAAGAACAGACACTAGGTGACCACTTATGTGATGGTTCACAAGGCAATGGGGTCATGTGATGCTACCTCACATCCACTCCTACAGTAGTTTCCTAAAATAAATGGGGGTTCCCACATGGCTCACCACAAAGCATGCAGATTTATTTTTCTGACCTTCCCTCAGTAATTTTGTGAATAAAATTTATATTTCTGCTCCAAGCCTATTCTATTTAAGAGCTTTTCCTTTCATATATTGAATAACTGCATGACATTTATTTTACTCAGATAACAGCTCTATTCTGCTTTAACTGCAGGATGTTCTGGACCATAGCATTCATACTGGCGATAGTAACAGCAGCCTACTTCATCACATTTCTCTATCATAAGTGGAATGAAAGCCCTGTCATAGTGTCTGTTGGTGCCAAAGCTACACAGCTCATCTCCATTCCCTTTCCGGCAGTAACTGTATGTAACATGAATAAAGCCCGGAAGTCCATAGCAGAAGAAATTATTAACTCAAAGTATGTATAGTATGTCTAATCCATTTCTATGACAATACGGTGTTGACAATTTCAGATACAGTACTAACTTGCTAGGTAACATACTGCTGACAAGGCAATTTTCTGCATTCTGATTTAGGGTGACAACTAAGTCAAAACTCCATGCTCTTAGACATTTTCTTGTAGAAGTAATTTTAATATTAGAAATGGGGCCTAGTCAGCTTCTAATTTTGGAATGCAAACTTATTTTAGTTAAAAGGTAAAGGCAAGTTTCAATTTCTACTACCATAAATCATAAAACTTGCATATAAAAATATACTGCCAGCAGATTCTAGTTAGGTTACTGATAGATGTAGAAATGGCTTCAGAATGCAAGCAGCGTCAGAGCCTAAGCACAGTTTCTAACTGGTTCAAAATTTAAAAAAGATGTTTGTATTCTGTGGTTATTCGGTAATATAACAAGAGCTGAATAAGATATATTAATCCTTATTGCAAATACAGAGGTTATTCCAGCAGTACGAAACACTGCTGACAAGATATAAATGGCCATAACCTGCACATTACATATATCATCAAAAGGTTACTGTTGTTGTCATTGCACTATCATCATTACCACCATTACAACCGCCACCACCACTGTCACTAACATTAACACCTTATCACCATCAACCACAAGCGCTATTGTGAAAACTCTGGCAATAAAACAAACAAAAAAACTCTATGGATTTTGTCCACAAGTGAACTATACCAACCAAGCAACCGCCACTTGTCAGCGAAGTTAGTACCAACTTTAGCGGATAGAGGGTGTTGCGTGGTCAGCGCAATGAATCCCCATGGCCATTAATTTCGGTTTTCTAGACTGGAGTCGCTATTTCCTTGAAAAAGCTCCTCAATTATCTTCACGAGGCTGAGTGGATCCCGTTCTAGACCCACTACTTCTCAGAAAATCTGGAAGCGCCAGGAATCGAAAATGGGACCTCTGGATCTGTAGCCAGGAACTCTGACCACTAGACCACAGAGGCAATCCCTGCAATAATCAATCAAATGTTAAAATAAAAATTTATATGCAGTTCATTTCTATTAAATACTTAAGCCTGGAACCATTCTGTTTTAATTCAAACTTATGGTTTCCCTAACCGCTGCGCCCAAAACTACCCTCATTTTCAATATAAAGAAAATAAGATTCTCAGCTCAACAAGAAATAATGTCATGGTCCAGAGGTTAGCACTCTTGCTTTGTACTGGGAAGGTCCTGGCCTCAAATATAAAACTGGGGAGTTGCTAACCTGAGTTCTTTTGAGGTTCTCCTTGGCTACCCAAGACATATACAGGGACAGTACCTTAACAGAGGCCATGAATGCATTCTTCCACACCCTCCGCACTGCATCATTCATACAATCAGCCTACCACCTGACATTATGCAACCTATGCAGTTGAAAAAGCACCATTAAATAAATAATTAAATCACACAGCTTCAAGTAACTCTGTTCTACAAGGCAATAAAAACAGCTTTTATTAAACACAGCAAATATGAGCATTAAATTACATTAAATTACCATACAGAGCCACAGTGTATCACCTGATTTAACTTGGCGACTGACAGCATAGTATGAAAGTTTCCTAGCATCAACCTATTTCTGCAGAAATCCTGATGATGACCTGAACAAGATACTGCTGAGAGACATGTGTGATGACAACTTTAGTGCATACAACACGCCCGTAGACGACAATATGCAAAATCGCATTGGGAACTGGGACACGATACAGAATTTCATGACATACGTAAGTCTTCATTCGACAGCTACTGTGTATTGCAAATTCTTGTCCATATACATACTCATTTTGTGATATTCAGTGTAACAATACTCTCATGTGTATCAGTGACTGAAGAATGGATTCAGATCAGTAATTGGATTTATTAACCACCTACAGGTTGTAACTACAAATAATTATAACACTACTGCTGCTTTACACAATTTACAATCACTCCACACTAATTTTCCCAGTATATTTCCACTAGTCTTCACTATCCATTTCCTGGCAATGGATTTATAACACAGGAACTATAAAAGTTTCACTAAATCACGCACTCCCAATATCACTGTATTACTGCGCACATAAAGTCTTCAAACCACAAGTTAAATCCTTACAGGCTGACCTCTTGTACACTTCTGTACTCCTACTTCCAATTTGCTCTAAGCTTACAGCTCTCAGCTCTCGTGATATAGCCAAGGAATGGACATGGTCCGAAAGTAAACACACATCATGTGATTGCTATCCAACCAACACAGCTTTCATTGATCTTTTTAGAAATTTAGACACTCATAACTGATCAGTCCAGGTCCGAGGCCTCTTGTGATTTTTCATAACTAGCTTATTAGTTATGGGAAGGAACTGTTAGCCCCACATCCAACTCCCAAGTAAAAATTCTAATATAAGTTGAGGCACAACATAATACTTTTTATTCATGTCTGTAATTAAGAGCAAGTGTTCATTTCATGTTACTCAGATTGTTTTTTTAATTTTCATTGCTGTAATAAAAATGTAAAACAGCACAGCAATGTGTGCATGCACACACACATATTAAAGATTTCGAAAATATTTTTGCAGCTTGATAAACTCTGTCGAAGTATCATCAATTTCAGTGAAGATGATTGACAATGTAATAAATATTTTCAGTGCTTATGCATATAAAATGTCACCTAAATTTGTTCCATGCAAAACATAATTCTTTTTGTTACAGGTCAGGCAACCATGTCATGAAATGATTCGATCATGTTACTATGCAGGAAATCTCGAAAAATGTGACGATATATTCAATCCTTCACTCACCGATGAAGGAATATGCTGCTCCTTCAACAAAGTCAAACGCGACTTTATATTCAGAAACCCGTAAGTTAGTAAGGGAAACCTTTAGTCTGAAACCATACTAACTCTGAATGCGCAGCAATATCTCAGTAATCAATGAAATCAGAAAATGTAACTCTGAAATGCATTATTATGATTTCTTGATGGTTAGGAAAAGATGTGCGCGCGCTTCCACTAGCGGAGTTTAAATGCCTGACTGACCAAATTGGGGTACATTGGCCACGACGAACATACTCATCACTGGCCCGATTGGGGCACTTCAGATGTTAAAGGTTAAATGCACATTTCACACATATAGCATGTTACTGGAAAATTCTTTCTTTTGCACTACACATAAGTCCCATGTCAGTACAGGCTTTGCAAGAACTCCCGGAGCCAGAGTCACTCACTGTTATGTAGCCTTGGGTCACACCTCGTGGAAAACATGTCCACTGCTTAGCGATGGACATTGTCATGTATTGTTGTATGCATTACCTAGCAAGGGGCTGTTTACCAAGAATCAGTCTCCACAGTAAGGTGTTTATAGAGCAGTTGCCTAGCAATGGATCTATATGCTATAATATTGTCACGTGTTGGGTAGATCAAGCCATTCTGGATCTAGCGAATTTATTGCACATTCGCTCTAACATTTACACAATTTACAATCTCACAACTACTGCCACCGGCAGTATCATAATTACTTCTCCTGCTTCCATTCACTCCGGCAAATGCTAGACTGCAACTGACTGGTTACTTGTTCCACCTCCCATGTCACAATATTAATGGGATTTATTGAGAACCAACCAGCTAACCACTAAAATGGATCTTACAGATATAGGTCGGAAGGTACTGACTGCATTGAACTGAACAGGCTACTGACATTCAGGTTTCATGAAAAGTGGGTCTTTTTTTCACCAGCTGAGTAACTCCCATATTCTCAAGATAGGATCTATCCCATAGGTTAAATACCATCAAAGTTATAATGAAATATTTATGATAATTAAAGCAGAGGTTACAGTGAGGTGACGAATGATAATACTCATGGACGCAAAAAAATGCAAACATGTTAAATGAAATCGCTAACACTAATATAAACATATCAACAAGAGAAAGTTCCACAAATCAACAGATCACTGTGAGGTAAGCATGCTTGGTTACAACACCAACAAGAGCAAGTGACATTCAGTACTGGAGGATGACACTAATTCCTAACACAGAAGTGTGGCGCAAAAAATTTGAGAGCCATACTTTTTATATTAAAGGAAGTTTGTGAGCTAGTTAAAATCCTTGGCCATCTTGATGCCCAACCATAACCACACCTTTCATTCAAGGATGTTATTTATGTCAAGGTCTTTGTATTAAGTTATAATCTAAACATTTCAGACGTGATCTTTCCGATCTCAACGTGACATTCCCACTGCCAAATACCAACTGGACCCCAGAAACAGGGTACCCACCTGATACTGCAACAGGAACACAGCCCTGGAGACCTCGTGGTGCAGGGTCACATTTAGGACTCACACTAGTGTTAGATGCCAATACAGATGATTACTATTGCTCATCTACAGCTAGTATTGGTTTCAAGGTGAGAACCATATAGTCAAATAAGTAGTTCTTATGGCCATATGCTTAGCAGTTGCAAACAGTAAATAGTATTTAGGTTTTGAGGTTTTCACGGCGATGACAATGAAGAAAGTTGTCTTCTGGGTTTAGGCACCGTGTATTCTTCGTTTTGGCCGACGTTCCTCCGAAACGTCGGCCAAAACGAAGAATACACGGTGCCTAAACCCAGAAGACAACTTTCTTCAGTAAATAGTATTATCAGTTGGGCTGGAGGTGTAAAAAAAACCTCATGCTGTTTGAACTAGCTTCTCACTGAGGAGGATCAGGACCAAGCCCTGGGCTTAAACTGTGGAATCTGTAACCACCATAGAGCACTGAAGCCAAGGCTCTCTCTGAAAAATTAAGTTTTCCCCTTCCCATAATCACTCCACCAAATATTGCCTCAGAGGTGTGCAGTACATCTGATTAGCCACCAATTCATCACAACCTTGGCCCTCTAGCCCATAACTAAGTCACCTTACTGAATGAGCTATCCTAGCAATAATTTAGAATGTCTACAAATTTATTTTCAAATAAAACTTGCAAGTAGGGAGTTGTCAACATTTCAGAGAAACATGTCACCACCTTAACCTTAGGTTATGATAGACTGGGCATGTGACAGGGATGGGTGAAACAAGGAATGAATTAGAGTTTTGGCAGAAAAACATCTTGGAATATGTTAACTGCAAACAGTGAGAGAAAGGTGACAGGATGAATCTCACAGAGGGGTTGTGGGGATCATAGGTTGACGGAACTGGATAGCAGTGTGTTCAACCTTCACACTCTAATATAACACTGTTTGTCTGTTCAGCATCAAGTCCAGGGCAGTCTGCTGCTGTATGATAACAAGCCTTCTGTTTACATAAATGCGGCAAAGATCCACTTTTCCCAATAAATTTAAGATAAAATTTTGTACAGTGACATAGGCAATTTGGAACAAAATAAAAAACTGTGGTAGAATTTCTCACCAGCTCTCATCATATAATGGCAATAAGACTGTCACTAATAATACAAGTTCAACCATCAGCGCAACTACTTTTTACTAATCTGGGTTACACTACATGTTTCAACCATTAAAGGGTCATCTTTAGGTGTTTTTAGTTACACATTATTACATTACTGGACTGCAACACGAGATCACCATATTCCTATTGACATACACAGGCCATAAAGTGGCTACAAACATGTTTATTTACATACTATTTAAGGATACTGACTCATCTGAGACTAAAATATTAAATTTAACAATTAAGCTAAAATGAATTTTAATTTTAGAACTGATTTAAAATTAAGTTAAGAATTAAATTAAAGCTAATTTAAAATTGTGAGCAATGATCGGCTTCATGTCTTCTGCTTACGCTGGTTCACTGCTCGTGGATTTTTTATACCCCGAAGATGGAGGCCATATGTTACTCCGAAGCATCGGTTAACACAATATCTATATGGTGCCACATCCCAGAAGACAGTATTCTTCTTAATTAAAATTGTTGCATTGAAAGTCGAACTTGTATTATTAGTTGTACTTACGTAACAGAATGCAAACAATAAAAATAATAAGATTGTAACATTAATTTTCCATCAGCCAATATATTCTTTATCACTTGCTGTATAATAACAAATTGTAGTCAAAACACTTTGCATCTATCATCAAATGCTATGAGAATGCTTTGTGTGGGTTATGATATTTGCTGTATGAAGCACATATCATGAATGTGATGAAAATGTACTTAAGCTGGTTCTGAAGCATGAAAATGTTTGAGAGAAGACAAACTACATCCAAGTAGCCCATATACTTTCATTCATTCATCAGTAATCTGTCAGACGACAGGTCCACAATCTCTTCCAAAACAGTTCCTCCACTTAATGCAATCTTCTGTTTTTGGAAAGAGACTATCCAGGAAAAGTGATAATGTGGTAGTTTTTCCATTTGCTTTCCACATCGCAGTACAGCAGCCGTTCAAACCACTCTGGTCACGCCTGTTGCTATACGAACTTGAACCATCTCGAGCATCATTTGCTCTGTGCTTCAAGTCCCTGCTGATGACGCTGCTTCCGACATCAGTTTTTGGTGTCTCTCTTTGTCTGATGCCTACCCTTTGACCTGTCCAGCAAGGGAGGCCCTGCCAGTAGCTACGCTGCCGCTGGTATAGCTCTCAGGGTCCTTAGCATACTCAAACCCCCTCACCACGATAAGGTGGAGACACCAACGAGGGGGCATATACTTTATAAGTACAAAAAAAAGTAAAGCTATCCCTGTACCAGGCCGTGATGGCCCATAGGGTTGTGAGACGTTGAGGGTCCCACATTATCTAGACAATCGGCTCAAACATGGCGGTAAGGTTGTCAGCCTTACGCGCCGGCCGCGCTTTTCTCCCCAGGAAAATTATTTAATTAATTTCTGATACTCATTTCTGTTAGAGGCTGAGTAAACCCCAGGGCCTAGTGCGGCTGGAAGGATTAGGTCAACTGAAAAAAAATCCAATGACCTCATCGGGATTTGAACCCGCGACCTTCCGGCTTGTAGCGTAGCACCTCAACCACTATGCTACTGCGTGCCCCCATATACTTTATTGGCTTCATATTTCAGGCACGTTTTCTATTGGGTATGGGACATAACAAAAACAAAGAAAATTATTTTTAAATATAGTAACAATGCTTACCAACATCATAATTTCAAATAACAATTCTGAGTATAACCACATATTTCTAAGCACTAGACCCAACACAACGGAAAAGCAACACACTCTTTGTATGGTATCATGAAGAAGATTTAAGTACTAAGATATGCTTTATAATTTCTGATGTGTTACAACAGCCAGACACTTGTTTGCAGATAAGGCTCCACAATCCTATTGAGACACCAAAGGTGGCTGAGTTCGGAATATTAATATCTCCTGGACAAGAGTACAGGGCGGTTATCAAGCCAAAAATAAGCAATGCTTCATCTTCACTCCGAACAATTCCAGAAAACAAGCGTCAATGTGTTTTCTCCGATGAAAGATATCTCAAGTTCTACCACACTTATACACAGAGAAACTGTGCTTTGGAGTGTGAAGCCAACTACACCCTTGCCACATGCATGTGTGTGCCTTACTACTTGCCAAGTAGGTTAACCCTATTCTTCTTCTGCAAGTTTTTTAAAACTAAAAAGGATTCTTAAATAACAAAGAATTGAACCCTTCCTATTTATTCTTTTTTGAGGAATTCTTTATAATGAAATTTTGCTGGATTTCTCATATGCTGAGATATGTCATTAAATAATCCTACATATATTAATATAAACTGTGAATATGAGAAGCAGACAGAAACAGAAAATTAATTAGTGCTCTTATCTCAAACATGCCAAGCAACATTCTATTTTTCCACTGCACTCATATGCTAATTAGTAAAATTCTTACAATTATAATTGTCAGCAGTAAAGTAAAAAAAAAAAAAGCATTCCCTGTACCAGGCCATGAAGGCCCATAGGGTTGTGAGATGTTGAGGGTCCCACATTATCTAGACCAGGCATGTCCAATGTGTCAATCGTGTGACGATTTTTGGTCGATACCATAGGCCTATAAGGAAATTATACGTCAAAGCATGTAAATTCACTTGTAATATATGATTATATTCAGATTCTGAAGAGAAAATACGTATTAGTCATCCTATTTTTCTGTTCTTATGTAGCTTACATGAAAATTGCTTTACACTTGTGTTAAGTGAACTATGGGGAATTCCCTACTCTATCCTTAACATGTGAACTCTTATTTTATCACTCGTCATCAGCCGTGTGTGTTCTGATGCAAGAGTGATCGACAACATGTGATTCACTTCGTTCCCTCCCTTCAGTCAACTGTGAATCCCCATACGTTGAACTAACAAGTAAGACGTATTATTATATTAGTTGTTAGTGGAGATTTGTCACTTTGCTGTGCATTAAACAAATATAATTTGGGGATGAGCTCGGTGTAATCAAAGGGACAGTAAGTGCTCTGCTCACGTTATTTTATTAATTTTGAAAGTGTCTGTGTGCATGTCAGATAAAACAGTTGCCTCAATATAGCGGAAAATGCAACGCCTCAGTATCCTTGCCAAAAAGGGTAATCTGGAACATCATTATAATGCTCTCCATAGCAATAAGTATAATGCTGATTTTCCACCCAAAAGTGGAATTCGTAAACTTAAGCTCAAAGAACTTAAATCGAAATTTGCTGCTCAACAATAGTTGATGGCAAAACCAAGGTCACTTTCTAAAAATGAAAATCATCCTTCAAGGCCAGCAATCTGATTGTTAAAAAATGTAGACCTTTCACTGAAGGGGAATTTATAAAAGAGTGTTTTCTTGAAATAGATGATAATCTTTTTGATGGATTTAAAAATAAGAAAGAGATCATAGCTACTATTCAAGATCTTCAATTATCAAGAAACACCACTGTGCGGTGAATAGAAATGATGTGTGTGGAAACACAACTGAATGAAGCTACAGACATCAGAGACACAGCCCAGTTACTAGTTGCTTTTACAACAAACATGTGTCGTGTTATTTTTACCAATATTTTTGCTTGAAGTGAGGTATGACGATAGGAGAGGGTGGTAGATCACTGGCAGTTTTGACACTAAAAAGTCTATCACAACCTGCTTGAAGTTGGACATGCCTGATCTACACAATCAGATGAAAGATGGCAGTAAGGTTGTCAGCCTTACGCACCGACGGTGCTTCACCTCCATGAAAATTACTTAATTAATTCCTGGTACTCATTTCTGTTAGAGGCTGAGTCAACCCCAGGGCCGTAGTGCGGCCGGAAGGATTAGGTCAATTGAAAAAATCCAATGACCTCATCGAGACTTGAACCCATGACCTTCCGGTTTGTAGCAAAGAGTAAAATTTAGTCTGCACCAAGACAAAGTAAATTAATAGTGCTGTCCCTAGTACTCACAATGTGATTTCATAATTAAAAACAAATGTATTACAATGTTAAGCCATATCTTTAAATGGGTAGGCTTGGCTGTCCTCATCCAAGAGATGTATTAGTACTGACACTGAAAATTAAAGTGTTATCCAGAAGTCACTAAGCTAACAGATGTGAAAGTTTCTTATGCATTTGTATTTGCGATTTGTTCCATATCCTATGGTGTCAAACACTAACTGGATTTACAGAAAGTAAATAAATTCAAATTCAAATAATTCATATATCTATAATGTCTTAACTGGACATTACAGTTCACTTTTTTGTCTGTTGTTTACCAACAACTTAAAACTACAGGGTGTTTCACAACTGATCTGCAGTACTCCAGGAGTGATTTCAGAGATAATGTAGTGCAAAAAACGTTAATTCAACACTGGTTCTATTTCCAGCCACTGATGTTTTAGGTGCATGCAAGAGAAAATAAAACAGAATACTAATCATAAGACTACATTGATATATTTAATGAGACACACTTCAAGTTAACTGTTCAAAATGTCCACCAAGTGTTCAAGGCACAGCCTCACTCGGTTCAAACAACATTTTACTGCCTATTGCATCATTTCAGGGTGTTCTTCTATGTAAGCAAATAGCATTCAATAGTTCCAGTCATCTGTATTTTGGTTCAGTACACCATCTCTTTCATAGGACCCCCACAAGAAGAAATCAAGCGGGGTTAGGTCTGGAGATCTTAATGGTAAAGGTACTGGACAAACATTCACAAGCCATTAATTCCCATAATGCTGACTCAAGTAAGCCATAACTTGACAGCCAAGATATTGAGGTGCCTCATCATGCACAAAAAAACTTCCTGAGTCTTGTCTCCAGAGGAATGTTCTTCATTAAAAAGTGACAACTGATTCATTAGAAAGTGCAGATAATTAGTAGCAGTTAAATATTGCCCCAAAATGGGTTCAATCAACAGATTTCTAATTAAACCACAGCAAACATATACTGAGAATCAATGCTCGAAGGTGCTTTCAACAGTCCCTTAATAATTATCAGCAGACCACAAGTGGTAATCATGTATTGTTAATTACATCCCAAATGAATTGTACTTCAGAAGTGAGCACTATTAAACGATTCGGAATATGACAATGTACAAGCATCCATTAGAAAAACTGAATATGAAAACTGTAATTATCCAACTGTGGAGCCTGCACACATCGCAAATAATAAAGATACAAACCACCTTCATGCATGGCTAGCCTTACACGCAATGTGGGTTCACCAAGTTGATTAGAGTTTCTCTGAACACTGGCCAATGGGCTATGTTGCATGAGGTTCATTATGTATACTTCTGCAGCAACAGACCATTCTAGAATTTATGGAACAACTATCCCTGTCTCCCACAGTCTCAGTTTGTATCTCTAAACACTTTTCTGTTCAGTATCCAGCTATGTAATGATCACCTATGATATTCATCAACAGCCAACCTCCTGTTTTAGTAGAAGAATCCATAAATGTAATGGATATCAGTGTATTCAGTGGCAATGAACTGTTAATTCACTTTGTATAAACATGTATAGAGAGAATATGATTTTGAACCTACTGCAATGCAATGTCATATCTGACTCCCAGCACAGATTAGGAGAGATGTAAGAAACAACTCAGAATTAGAAATGGCCACAATTCAGCTGTCCCCGGTGTTATCGTCTACTGAATTTAACATAAGTTAGTTGTTATCAGTGCTGCCATAAACTGTCTTAAAAGTACGCATTTGTTTGAAAGACTTCAAATAACCACAGCTCCTCAGTGGTTGGAAACAGGACAATGTTGCAATGATACTTTTCACTTGGAAATTACCATTGAATCAGCTCCCAAAGTATGGCAGACTGGTTGTAAAATCACCTTGTATGTGACTGATTCTTATCTTACAAACATCCTGCTTAAGCGGCTGGAGAGAACAAATGAAACTTGGGTCTGATCAATCTGACAGATATTTCATATATAATTTTAAAGATTTCTGACCATGGTCTGGTGTCATGAGGTATGGATGCTGTCCAGACAGTGTCCACTGTTTAGAGTTCGGATTATGTCTATAACATTTCTTCCATAACAACAACTTCACACAATGAACAATATCTGGAAAACATCATAACATCAAATTATAGATATCAATCCATCAAGTTCTGCTTCATTTAACTGAATTTAATTTATTAATTTAAGCACAGTTCAACAGCTCATTTTCAGTATTTCTCAAACATTCCTTTGAATATACATATTGCAGAGGATGCTGACACTACGATATGTGCCAAGAAGGATGAGAACTGCACAACAAATGCTCGAAGTAAGTCAACCAAATCAACCTTTTCCATAATTGGTTAAACTGTTCCTTTCTGAGGGATTATTCAAGAGAAGTGGGGAAATATGTAATTGGATATAAGAAATGTGTTTGTTCATAAAAGAACTGTTCTAAGGAAAGCTGTTTATATTATCTGTAAAAGAGTATCAGCTGATCTCGTATGATCATTTCATTTCATTTCATTTCATACAGGAAGAAGGAAGATAACATTAACTTTTAACAACATGTATACGAATCTCATGTATTGGAAACATCTATTCCACATAGCAATTAAGTTTATATCACATATCTGCATTACAATTGGCAACAATATTTGGCATGCATAGTGGTCCCACAACCAACCATCTTGGACATTTTTCTTTCTGACAAATGATTTTTCAAATACAGTGCTAAAGAGTCAACTCCATTGGGGTAAAAACGACACATCTGCATGATTTCTCCTCATTTGAGAAATGTACTTAGTGCCTACTAGTGCACGCCGCAGTGGGAAGCCAGCGACTAACCACTTGAGCTATGGCGCAGCCTATTTTTCATGCTTACTGACAATCCAATGTAGTTCCATCAACATAAGACTGAGACTAAATATGATATCCATAGGGGCCATTGAGATGCGCCTTGTGGATGAATCTCTCAACACTTCAAATTCTGAAACAGTCAGTAAAGATCTACCTCCTAAGCACTGTCAGTGCCTGCCAGGATGCAGTGAGCTTAGATACGGCAGCACTCTCTCATCTAGCACAATGTCTGGATATTTCGCTATGAACAAAGAATATAGTACAAAGGATGGAACGTATTTCAGGTAAGACAAAATAACTATTTTACTATATCTAATCAACTTTAATGCAATGCATGTTATATGATGTAAATATTTTTTCAAATACATGGAAATACAAACAATCTGATCATCGCCACATGCACACATGCTAATGCAAATATGAATGCACTCACTCATACTCTGGTCTTCACACAAGCCTTAAAAAAAAGAAGAAAAAGAGGTAAATTCTTACTTAATGTTTTTTTAAATTCGCTTAGTAGGGGGTGGGGTACAACTGGGTCCACTCGGAACGGTGGCCATTGATTGGCCTATTGTAGCCTACCCCGGGTGATTACGATGATGGAGAATTTGGTGGAATGAAGATTGGCAGGGGAAACCAAAGTACCCAGAGAAAATCTGCCCCAGCGCCACTTTGTCCACCACAAATCCCACTTGACCAGACTCGGGATCGAACCCAGGCCGCAGCGATGGGAAGCCAGCGACTAACCACTTGAGCTATGGCTCGGCCTTAATCCCTACTTAAAGAATGTTTTGTACAGCAGGCAGATAGGACAAACACAGAAACAGATATTTTGTCATTTGCTCACCTATCACTGTGACAAATGAACTTGGAAAGAGTGGCATAAGAACTAACATTTGAGCTTCCATCAATAAATAGGCTTCAGTCTACACCATACAGACATACTTGTATATGGGTAAGTATATCATCAGAAGACATAAATGATGATATTGGAGCTTCCATCAAGAGTAACATGACAGAATGGCACAAGCTCACAAACAATACCATAACAGTCACAAAATGCATGCTGACAGCTGGATACCCACTAGAACCACATGGTAAACCTATCCCTGTAACAGATTGTGGAGACCCATAGGGTTGAGATATTGAGGCTCCCATATTTTCTAGAGAGACGGTTCACAGATGGTGGAGAGGTTGTCAGCCTCACATGCTGGCAACACTTTACACCCAGGACCATTCCGGGTACTCATTAGTGTAAGAAACTATAGTACAGGATATGTATCTACAGGCAACATGGGAAAAAATACTTAATCTTCATTTGTGAGCTCCCAAAAAGACACATGTAAGCTGGAGATTACACTGATCATGTTTGAAAAGCCAAGGAAATGGGCCAGATTCATGCTTGTGAAAAATGACAATAACAGTAATGGGCTTCAATACTATTAAAAAAATATCAGGATGGGAGCATACCTGCTATGTCACACAAGAATAGATGTGGTAGGACAACAGGTATAATACAGAGACGAATGTGACAATGATAAATGGTGGGTGTTCAATGATTGAAGAGGTCAGCATATAATCAAAGAGCAAACATAGTCAGGCTGATTGGTGTCAGCCTGAGAGGACAGCAGTCATTGGGACATGGAAGCTGAAGACACTACTGACAACACTAGTCTGTGTGTGACAGTGACCTGTGAAGTGTAGTCATGAGCTATAAAAGTGTTCAATAGATCTAATTACCAATCCGAACCCCATCTATAGTCACTCTATCAAGTGACAATATATATACACAAATATAAATTTTAAAGAAAGAACATGGGACTTTTATTTTAGGTTATGGTGAATTCACATATTTAAAGATGTCAAAAGAATTCAATTAACCAAGTATTATTGTTGTGTGGTGGAAATGGGAAATTGAAGCACATTGGAGAGTTCAAAGTCTGAGTCTCAGCTTTATGACTGACCTCTGACAATTATGTTTTTCTTTCTTATTTACAGGAGAAATGTGGCAGTGGTGCACCTGTTTTTTACAGAGTCACAGTTCATGAGCTATTACAAGTCAGAGCTGTTTGGACTCACTGAATTTCTTTGTAAGTAACCACAATAACTTCTATTGTGTGCGCATCCGTTGCTGTGGGAGCACATTCACCGAACCATTGCCTATCAATTCACATCTTTTCTGTCTATGCTACTGCAGCCTTTGGCTGTCATGTCACATTGCTCCATCCTTAAGGCTGCTCGTCCCAAATGGCCTACAGGCCATGGGGATGCACATTCAATGTTTGCGATTGCCCTCACAAATAGCATCACAATGTCATCTGGCTCTCACGCCTCTTCTTCCAGTTTCAGCGATGTCCAGCCTTATTCCTCGTGGACTGGATCTCACACTGCTGTTTCTCAACTGCTCCCTCTTTAGGGATGCTTGTCTCAAGCACCACGGTCATTTTGTGAATGTGCCTCCCTCAATCCGCTTCCACTACCACCAGTCTCCAGTCATCATTACAGGCACCTCCCTTGGAGGCCAGATGGGCATTCTCGCTTTGGCTTGATTGGTGGCCCTGGAACCCTTCCCTACGAGGTTATCCAAGGCCTCCTGGGGTCCTTCCAGTTGCAATGACACAACTGTATCATACCGAGCCACTGCTACCGCACTATTGCCCTTTGTATAGGAGGTGAACACAGCTGCACTCCAGGGACCCACAATGGCACTTCCTCACCCCCCCTTGTAGCATGTGGTGTTTAAAATGCATCTTGGGAGTATATAACATCAAATCTCAAGATGAACTCATCGGTGATACTGACAAAGAACACCCAAGCTGTCAGTGGGTGCCATCTCAGTTTTACTAAAGCTTCCCTCAAGAAGGGGGTGGGTTTTACTTGATGCTGTCTGCAGGACGCGCTGTGTAGGCGGTCCCTCTCGGGCAGTCCTCTGTCCAATAGTTGGTCTCTTCCAATTCGGACTGAATGGAATTTATCATGGCCTCCATGTTTACTCGACCGGTACTCGCTGTGGCTTTCATTCCTTCTTGGCAGACTGTAATTCCAGTTCCCATTTGTTTCTGACCCATCTTCATCGTGGTCTCCACCTTAATTGTGGTGTATAGGTTAGGGGCTGTGGAGTTCATATTTGTGTATTTCTATATATTTTCTTTTTGTATGATGTTGCTACATTGTTTTAGTTATTTCCTTTGTGTTCATATTCTTCTTGTGTATCGCTAATGCTTTTCCTTTATCTACCTTTATTACTATAAGTTTGTTCATTTCTATTTTGTTGTTTTGTTTTTGTTTTCAATTCTTGTTTCTCTTATTTGTTATTTTATTTTTCCAGCTAATGTCTCATATTTATTGCAACTATATATCTATAATAATTTTGTTTCGTTATACTAAGGTTACTTATTGCTGTCTCAGCTTCATGGGCTAATGTTTCTATCCATTTTTTATTTCTGTGGTGTACATTGTATTTCAAACCTTTATTTATGAGTTGGATTTCATGTTAATTATATATAGTTCTTCTTCTTGTTCTTCCTACTCTCAGAATTGAGCATCTTTTCAACATATTCTGGGCACATATTAAATGGGGTGGATGAAGAATCTCTCTCTCGCTAAATTCACGTATCTTCATCATCTTCTCCACGACATCAATTCAGTAATCAGAATACTTCCGACTCATTATCCCCATTTTTGACTGGCAGATCCAAAACTATCACAGACTAGTCTTTTATTACAGAGTGAAATATAAATCTATATAGTAGTTGCTATTTTGCAGCCTTTGAAATAATTCAACCAACAACTCTACGGATTTTTTCACTGCTTTACAAACTATCAACTATCATTTCTACAAGTCCATCTCACATCTGGGAGACTTTGGCTTATAACTAAAATGTGTGGTTCTGGTAAATATCTAGGCAATGCTGTCATAGTATCCAAAACTATATAACTGATAACTAGACTTGTAACTCATCTTTCTAAACTATCATCTGAAGTATTAAACAATATAATGAACACACTGATATATTGGGTTTTTGGACTTTATCCATCGCCCTGGTTTTTAAGATAACTAATAAAAACACGACGTTTCGGAAACTGGATCTGTTTCCATCCTCAGGTGAAGGAAAACACCTATTCTGTTGGGTCTGTTAGAAAGAGCTAGCCTCAATCACTGGACTACCAGTTATACAAGTAGTAACTACTTGTATAAACGGTATGGACCCGGTATTTACCCTTCTTCTAGAAAATATGGATAAAGTCCAAAAACCCAATATATCAGTGTGTTATACACCACTGTCAGAATCCTATAGTAACTACTAATATAATGAACACATTTATCTTCAAGAGAGCTGCAAAATGTTAACATATATTACAGACAAAGCTCAACATCTGAATTACACTACACATACAGAAATTCTGCTTTATCTGTTAACTCTTCTGTTACAGCAAATACTGGAGGACTACTTGGACTCTTCCTTGGCTTTAGCTTCCTCAGTGTTGTGGAAGTTATATATTTTATCTCCATGAGATTGTGGTGCAATGTAATCCACAGACAACAACACGCTCCTAACCAACAGAAATCCTTACTTCTAAGCAACTCCAGTCATGTTAGTGTAGTCACTCCATATCCATTTGCTCAGTAATTGATCACAATGCACTATGATCATACACTATTTCACGCACCTTATAAATCAGTGGTTATGTAATAAAAATTTGCAATACATTAATAAAAATCCTTGCCATACCTCATTTGGTCTTCAACATTTTGAAATGCATGTTCCAAAATATACAACCAGATTTGAATGACTGAACATATAAAAGTAAGTATAGATATTGCTAACTTTATTCTGGGTATACAGATAAAAAAAATCCCAGTACTGGAATAAAAGCAACTTATATCTCGCTCATTTTGAGTTTTAATAGTGTGCATCCTGTTGTGTGTCATAAATAAGATATACAAAAGTATATACACAACAATATTGTTGTGTAGATGGCATACCTTATATACTTCTGTATATCTCATTTTGAGTTAGCATATAATTCATAGTAACATCAGATGGCCACTCAAGAACCATCATTATAAACAGTGTCACATAACTTTGAACAAGGCCCCACATTCCTAGTCAACTCCCGCGCATAGCTTGTGGTGGGAGGAGTTTCTTAACACTCGTTCTTCCACTGGCCACCTGTCACTTCTCACACCCTCCACCCCCTTGTCTGAAATTTTTCTTCTGCGCATTCAAGGTTAACCCTTGGCCTTGTTTGAAGTTACGTGACACTTGCTATAATTCCATGGAGCAAAGTTATTCTCACTTAACAAAGAATTTCCTTGCCTTTTATGGAACCCAAAAGTTCATTATTCTGTGCACTGAAATCCACCATTAATCCCAATCCTAAGCCAGAAGAATCCAGTTCATACCCTCTCACACTCAAGATACCTTTTAATACCGCCATGCCACCTATTCCAGGATATCTTCCAAGTGCTTCTCCTCTTCAAGTTTCCAACCAAAATTGAGTTTACATCTCTCACTTATACCTTTTGTCATTAATGTAATGCCTGCCACATGCCCTACCCACCATATCCTTCTCGATTTCATGGCTTCAACAATATTAAAAGAAGAGTACAAATTACAAATCTCCAATAATGCAGTTTTTCCTAGGATCCTATTCCTGCCTCTCTCAGATCCAAATAATCTCTTAAGCAACCTACTCCCTCAAAGTGACAGACAAGGTTTCACCCCCATACAAGGTAAAGTTTTCCTTGTGTTTATCCAATTAACCACTACTCCATGAAGATTTATGGGGGAGTGGATGTATAGATCAATGCATTCTTGTCCTTGGCTACAGAGATGAGTGGTCAGCTTCATGGCCCGGCAGCTTCACCCCTGGAAAGAGTCCCCAGTCCTCATTGCATAGGAGGCTAGGCGGGCCAGGATGGCAGGAAGAGAAGATAAGTCTTGCCCCTACAGGGAGTAGAACTCATACCCCTCAGTCATCCAGTTAGTAGTCTGTCACTATACATAATGCACTCTCCTATCTTCCAAGTCTCACAACCATATAAAACAAATTATATATTCTATTCTAATCTTTACATATTATCACGTGTATTAGTGACTAGAGAAGGGGTCTGGATTGATGAATAGATTTACTGACCACTCACAGGTTGTAACTACAAATAACTATAACAGTATTGCTGATTCCCACACTACAATCACTCTACACTAAGTCTTCTCAGTTTATTTCCCGTAGTCCTTACCTAATAACAGCTCTGCAGAATGGCTCTGCCTCTGCCATGTTATCACTACAAGTATTCTGGTAACAAATCTTAGTAATGGAGATTCTTCAGCTTCCATTGCCCAATGGTTAACACTCCACAGGGAAATACTCAACTCCTCTCAACTACTGAACTCCAAATTCTAGTTCTATCAATAGGGCCAAACTGAGAAGGCTCTTACATGAAGATGGAGACAGAATCCAGTCTCTTAAACGTTGCATTTTAAATAAAAAACAGGATGATGGATAATATGCAAAAACACAACAACTATATAAAGTATACTGTTTCAAAAATTCTGAATAGGAAATAACTCAGACAAATGCTTGCCTATATGCAGTTTACTGTAAGTTATTTTAAATGTACTTTAATTGGCCTAACTAAATGCACAATGTCTGTCTACTCACTGAACCGTGAATCATAAGCTTTCTTGAGGTTCACAAACAGGTGTTACAGTGATCTGTATTCAGCCCTAAAGTTTGGCTTTTTTAAATATACCATGTAAAGTGGAAGCACGCAGTAGCATAGTTGGTAGAGGCACTATGCTACAAGCCGGAAGGTCACGGGTTCAAGTCCTGATGAGGTCATTGGATTTCTTCCCACTGACCTAATCCTTCCGGCTGCACTATGGCCCTGCGGTAGACTCAGCCTCTGACAAAAATGAGTACCAGGAATATTCTTGGGAGTAAAGGGCAGCCAGCACGTATGGCTGACAACCCTGCCGCCATCTATGAGCCGAATGTCTAGAAAATGTGGGAACCTCAACATCTCATGACCCTATGGGCCTCCATAGCTTCAAAGTAAAGAGAGCAAATAACTATGTGACAACAGAAAGCCAGGATATCGCAGTCAGTCTAGCAACTGGCTACTGGCTGGACAATGGAGGTGTCAGAGTTCTGAGTCCCTGTGGGGTCAAGAATTTTATTTTCTCCATGTCATCCAGACCGGTTCTGAGGTCCATTCAATCTCCTATCCAATTGGCACCAGGGTGCTCTTTCCCCAGGGACAAAATGGCAGGGGCGTGAAGCTGACCACTCATCTCCAGCTAGTGCCAAGGTCAAGAAAATGTGAATCTATACATCCATTCCCCCACGTCTTCATGGCATAGTGATTAATTTGTTAAGCACAAGGGCAACTTTACCTTTTTACCTTAAGGAAGAGACAACAAACACCTGCAGCTGTGTATGACTACAAGTGGAACATGGGTGCAATTCAACTCAGAGATTGAATGCTACAGCCTTATTTGCCTGAGCTTAAGGAAGGTTCTATGTGGTACATAAAATTGTTCAAAAAGTTACTCATGGTAGTTATCCACAATTCTGTTATAATATTGTCATGTGTTAGGTATGTGATGTCACAAAAAACTTCATGCCGTTTTGGATCTAGCAAATTTATTCCACATTCGCTTTTACATTTACACAATTTACAATTACAATTACTGCCACTGGCAGTATCACAATTACTTCCACTGCTCTCAGCAACTTCGTAATCCATACTCTGTCACTCCTGCATAGCACAAATACGTGACACTGCTCCCTCCTTAAGGCTGTTCGTCCCGAATAGCCTAATGGTGCATCCTTGTTCCTATTCTTTGAAGGCTGTTCTTGCAACGTCTTCTTTTTGTCGGGCTACCCCTCTTGCAGCGACTATTCTCCAGCTGTTACATCTGCTCCCTTCGTAAGATTGTTTCTCCCAAACAATTCCATGGTCCAGCGTTGTATCACATTCACTCCTCACTTTCATTCTCCATTCATGCCAGGGAGGCCAGTGTTTCTACATTACCAATTCCTCCTCTAGTCCTTGTTTCCTTTTCTGTTTTGGAGGGGCTCGACCCCACCACAGTGTCTAGTTTTTGATGTTCTGTAATCCACTGGAAATCTCTACTGCTTGTTGCCTCATATCCAGCCCTAGGGTCTTCCTGAGAGTTCAGCTGGATGTTCTCTCATTCCCAGGATGCAGCCGCCGTCTTGTGTGTTCATCCTTCATTCCAATGCTGCCCTCTGGTTCCACCTTAAGTTTCCGCCCTCTGAGGGGTCCTCTTGCAACGTTGTTCCTAGTCTGGTTGTTCCCAACGATGTGTCCCTTGCACCATGCCACTCCTGCACGGCGGGTCATTCTTCAGGGAGCAGCGACAGCAACTTCATCCAGGATTCACAATCTCCTCGGGTCAGTTTCTTTGGCTCCTCGCATCATTCTGCAGCTTGCTTCTTGCCCCTATACTGCCTCTTCCATCCTTTGACCGACTGCACAATGGCATCATCCTTGGGGACCTCTCGTTGTTGGGCCACATAAGGTTTCCTGTCTACTGAGGTCTGCTCTTCACCTTCTGGACGTGCCTCCATCTCTTGGCAGACGATCATCTTTTCGTCCATTTTGGGTTTGATTTCGGCCACCATCTTCTTGTGGCTGGCTCCCATATTTTCTCACATGGCTTTCGTCCTTGCTTCGATTGCTTGTTTCCACTCGGATGGCTTCAAATTCTGCGGCAATCTTTTCACGCCAGGCTTTTCTGTCGACGTCCGCCTTCACCTGGTTGGCTCTAATCTCCTCTCACACTGCATCTGTTTTTTCTTGGCCAGCTCAGATTTCCTTCAACAGCAGTTCCATCATCTGCTGTGACTCCATTTTCGTGGCAGTATAATACTCAATGCACTCGTGAATTAATTATTCGTTGTATTATAAGTTCGTAAACCACTTCTGACATCAGTTGTCACGTGTTAGGTATGTGACCTCAGAAATAACTTCATGCCATTTTGGATCTAGAAACTTTATTCCACATTCACCCTTACATTTACACAATTTACAATTGCTTCCACTGCTCTCGGCAACTTCACAATCCACACTCTGTCACTCCCGATCACACACTGGCTCACACACCGCTCAGCCGGCTTCTTATACTCTTCCCTGTTGCCACGTAGTATCCGCGCTGTCCCCTGTTATATCACAGTGGGAAGTGCTGTTACGTCACTGCTGGCGGGGGGAGGGGGTCCTGCATTGTGCAAATATGTCACAATATACTGGTCCACGCCAAACAATAAGTGAAGCTATCATCCATATCTCCACTTCCAGTGTGCTTGCTTTCTTCATGCAAATACAGAATGTTCAGTTTACAAGACAAGTTATTAAAAACATAATTTCAGCTTTGCTCAAAAAACTTATATAGTTATGTCATAAGTGAAGGTTTAAACATTTCAATGAAAAAATTATAGGGCCATATAAAAGATACTTCCACAGTACAGCAATGAGTGCAATATTTAAATGTCTGCATTGAAGGGTTAAAATCAGTAAGATGACATATCACAACATTCTTTTCCCTGTCACTTAACTTACTGGTTAACACATTGCGGACCAGTGGTTTAAACATTTAAATCACCCTGGGGACCGGCGTTTTTAAACCTACTACCCTAACTTGTGCACTGTTCACTTTAAAAATTAATATAAAATCTCCTAATTAATTTTATGAACTGAAATTTTTGGAGAACACTTACCAGAGCTCCTAGAAGTGCTTGTGCATGTGATATCTCTGGAAACATCTCTGGATATCTCTGGAGGCATTATGCAGAAGTTGCTGAATTTTGAAAAGCCTGCCCATTGGTTGTGGTTGCACTTCATTATTGTCGAAATGCAAACACCACCATATCTGTTCAAATCTCTTATGACTCATGAGTTTGCCGAAAATTGCAATTTCTAAAAATGGGTCACTTGACCAATAATCCTTCAAACTTTCTCTCTTCGTAAGGCCCATTAGAATGATCATAGCCAAAAAATTTTTCATTTCTGTTGAAGCGACATCCACCCACTTCAAAACCTTATTGGTTCTGTCGTACGCCTCATGGTGTTGGAGATAGTATCTGTTAGTTTCCTGACACAACAAGTCAAAGAAACTATCTCCAAAAAACAGTGACGCAACTTCAGACACGTCCGTTGGGTCCGATGGCATCTGCTTCACCCCTGGATCACCAGTAAACTTTCCCAAAGTGGGGGTTTTGTCCACTTTATCCCATGTAGCTGTCCCGACACTAGCACTTTCAACGGAGCTCTCACTTTCACTTGACACATTTTGGGCAGCCCTGTGGCCCCCATCACTGTCACTGTCACTGTCACTGATAATGGCCTCGCTATCAGAAGATGAAGCAGTTGGCAAATCTGATAGCTCAGCGGAGAACATATCTAATATTTCCTGTCCTCCGAGAGATCGCAACTGCTTTCGTCTCTGAGCCATGTTGAACTGGTAGCTGTGTAGTTCATACGTGTAAGCTTGGATTAGAACAAAGCCAATTTTGTTTAGGTTGTGACAGGAAATGACTCTGGTCGAGTTACTAGATAAGGCAGCAATCATTCCCGAGGTCATCTACGCAGTAGTTACAATTCAAAGAAGCCACACAGCGATACATAGTGTTTTGCAACATAACGTGACCATTGAGGGCCATATGGCAAGACCGGTCCGCAACGCTTGGAAACGTAGAGGGCCATATGGCCCCTCCGGTCCGCAATGTGTTAAACTTTAAGGGCCAAGAGTGTGAAAGCAATTAAGATCCATGGTTGTCAGGTGCCTACATTTAGATATAGGAAGGAAAAAATTTAGTTTTCCTATGTATTCACTCTTCAAGCCACAACATATACTTGAAGGGGAGCCCGATAGCTCAGTCAGTATAACAACAAGCCATGGACTGGATGACTGGGATTTCACTCCCAGTAGGGGCAAGAAATATTTATTTTCTCCACATTGTCCATACCAGCTCTGGAGCCTACAAAGCCCAATGAGTACTGAGGGCTCTTTCCTTCGGTGGTAAAGCAGCCAGGGTGTGAAGGTGCACACTCACCTCCATTTATTGTTAATAACTGCAGCAACTTTGGCCTACTGCTTTCAAAACAAACGTGAAAACAGTACATTATGGCAAAAAAAATGTAAATTTACCACTGTGTTAATTCCATCATTCAGAATTAAAACTGATAATTTCCTAAATAACTTCTATGAAATTACACTGAAATGGAACGAAATATAATAAATATTATTTTACTGTAAGAATAACAGAATTATCCAAATATTTCGGAGAACAAGCAAGGTGTCAAAATATGCGAATAAACTTGGAACTTCTGGACGACTCCATTATAGCCAACAGCGTACCTAAGTACATTTGAGCATGTGTTCCAGCGTTTTGACATGATGTAACACTTACATCCATTCAACATGTCAATAATATAACAATCTTTCCATTCAACATGTCAATAACATAACAATCTTGCGCCCATTCACACATGCCAATAATCAAGAATGTCGTACAAATGCTTTTAGGTTAATCTGAACATATAAAAACACTCACCTTTCTAAGTCCTAGCAACAGAGTTGAGTTGTCCGTACGTTACGCACTTGGTTTCATTCTACCGATATGCCATAATTGCACATTACCACAAAACTCTGTAACTTCGTCACCGCCATAGTCACGCAACGCTACGAAAGCGAAGATTCGTTAGTGATTCAGCAGCCATGGATTTTATAAGTCGACCGTATCACGCCATCTTTGAGCTATCTCTTCAACAATTAGAACATTTAGGACATCTTGGAGTTGTGTGAACTGGACGCTAAGCTGCTGTCATCTGCATTCACAACATAAATTAAAATGTCATTTGCAACAGACGCACAAGTAACTTAAAAGAGTTGTACAATTCTTGGACCGGACTCTTCAAGCAAATTTGAGTTAAGAGTGCAGAACAAGAAAAGAAAAATTGGAAACTTGACTAGACCCAACTCGAGTCACAACAACAATCACTATCTGAAATAATTCAAAGAATTGCTGCAACAACGCAGTTCAGAACATATCACCATCTCGTCTTCTGTCCGAAAACTATATATACTATACTTGTATATATGTTATATAAATGCGGAAGCTGATCCCTCATCCGACGTTCCCGTTTATGACTATTCATGGGACGTAAGTCAGCGTCAAAAGTCGTACAAATTTCCTGGCTATTTCCAAGTTTCTTTAAGGCGTCAAAATAAGCGGTTGTTTTTATAGTGGACACTGCCTCTCAGCTGCACTGCTGAGCATATTTAAAAAACACTACGTTCAAATTGAACAATTAAATCCAACGCATCTCAAGGTAGGCCTACATTTATAACCAGGTAATTTTGTTTACAAAATTATATCGAAACAGTTCTGTGGTTGTTTCTCGACTTTTCTGAATCAACTGAAGTGTGATTGCTAAACAATGCTTCGTGTCCGCACTCACCGGCAGGAACAGCAGTTGTTGAAACACTGTTACCAATTGCACACGTGAACGCACCAGTACGTCCTTTGATGCAGAAAATAATGTCTATACCTGACGCTGGTGGATAAGAAATGCTCTTTAAGCATATCACTCTCCCATTCTGAAGTAATGCTGTAACTTACTGGTAGAAGTGAGTGTCAATTAAAAAAAAAAGTAGAACTGCGATATCTGCAACAATGACATTTGGAAACACGCTGAGATATTCAGCTAATGGCTGCTCATCCACCAGCCTTATGTGTATGTTCAAGATTTCGAATCAGTCACTGTCTCAGATGTTTAGGAAGCCTTGATTCATGCCCTGAAGGAATTTGTAACACAATGTCATTTGGGGGGAAAAATATGGTAATGAAAACTATTAGATTCTAAAGGGTTCTGACGATGGTGGATGACACACAGAATTAGTGGGGTTTTGGACTTTTTCCATCATCCAGAATTTTAGGTAATAGCAGACATGATGTTTCGGAAACTGGATCTGTTTCTGTCTTCATGTGAGAAAGGAAAACACCTACTCAGTTGGGCCCCTTAGAAAGAGCCAATCTCAATCACTGGACCACAATCTATATTCCCTACAGAACAGACAAATACATTGTAAGATGGGGCACCAGCTAAACAATTAACATCAAAACTATATTACATCTATACCACAGGCCTCCAATCAGTTTATTACCTGTATACAAGTCTGAATATACTGCTATATGTCCGTGGGAATATAACAAAATTGCAATAAACTGATTTGATGATATAGAGTATCAACTGAAGAGTTTTAACCTTATTTTATGTCATAACTTTCATTTTAATAAGTTTATAGTTCATTGTACTTTTATACCATAGTCAAGTATCCAACTTTACCATCGCAATTGCAGTTCAGTAGTGAGTGAATATGGTAATCATGTGTTTGCCTGATTACTTTATGAGCTGAAATATGTAGCCAAGCTAATTTTAGCACCTTTATACTGTTGTGTTGTGATGGACTTTAATAAAGAACATTGTAAGTTAAATGATGATGGCACATAGAAATGATGAAAGCCAGGACCTTCAGAACATTTATTAAGAGTATATTCCCTATCCAGAATTGAGCAATTAAGCATTAACATTAAAGTGACCCTCCATAAAGCACTCATTAGGAGTGTAATGATTTGTGATTGCCCCACCTGGGAGGTTGCAGCAGACAGCCATCTAATGAAATTTCAGCATCTGCAAAACAAGGTTCTCTGCAAAACTGTAAATTTTCCAAGGCACACAAAAGTTCATGATTTGCACATGGCTTTCAAACTTCTGTACTTATGTGATTATAACAAAATTATGCAGGCAACAAGCAGAAGTCATACAGAACCATGAAAATGCTAATGTTCACAACAATGAACAACGCAAGCTCCGGTTAGACTTGGCGATGGGAAAGCATATGACCATTCAAGTGACTGAACTGTCAGTGTAGCGGGAGCTACTGAACATAGGGCATGATCTGCTGTACTAAGCCTGGACTGACAATAGGCTTTGTACAAAAGTATATTGTATATACATACTTTTAATAACATGTAAAATGTAAATATATTGTACATACTGACAACTGACTTATTATTGCAGAATGTGACTCTGATAACAGCCCCATTATATCATCAGAGAGGGCACCCCACATGGGCAGGGCAGTAACTGTCAAACACAAACTAATATCTGGTCATAAGCCCCAGATGAGGCTCGACACCAAGATAGATTGACTGACTGACCATCAGTTGCAATTTCATCTTTGTGATGTAGATATAGATACCAGTAAACTTACCCTGTAATGATGACTCTGTTCCAACTTCCATCTGTAAACTACAAGGGCAATTCATCTCATTATAGTTCTTCTGAAAAATAATTGTAACATACTGGATAAAATTATAACATTATTTTATTTAGCACATTCATTGTGAGACACAAGAGTACAAGACATTTCTCATTCGACTGAGTCTTATTTAAGTCTGTTGTGGATTCTCTTGGTGTGCTTTAAAAGCTGACCTTTCACAGCAAAAGCCCTTTTACACACACTACACACGTGAGGCTTTTCACCAGTATGAGTCCTATTATGATTCTGCAGATCTGCTCTTCGTGAGAATGCCTTTTCACATACCAAACAAACATGATGTTTTATTCCAGTATGTGTAACAGTGTGTTTCTTTAGAGCACGATTATCCTTGAACATGAGGTGACATTCATCACATTTGTATGGTTTCTCACCAGTGTGTACCCTTACATGAACAGTGAGATCATGCTTACTCACAAAAGCTTTCTGACAAATGGAACATTCGTGTGGACGTTCTCCTGTATGCTGCCTCACATGACGTGCAAGATGGGCCCTTTGTTTGAACGATCGTTTACACTCAAAACATTGGTAAGGCTTTTCACCTGTGTGAGTCCTCATATGGTCTTGCAGCTGCTGGGAGGAACAGAATTGTTTCTCACAAGCACTGCACTTATAGCCAGAACCTTCATGAAGTTTAAAGTGCCTTGCTAGATCATACTTATGCTTAAATGTTTTACTACATACTAAACATTCATGAACTTCACCCATATGGAGGACTCGATGTTGATTGAAGTATGACTTCGTTTTGAATGCTTTACCACATTCACTGCATTCAAAAGGTCTGAGGGCAGAATGAACAACACTATGAATATCTAATGTACTCCGCCGGCTGAAACATTTTCCACACGCTTGACATGCAAACTTATTCACATCTTCATTAATGGCATATGTCTGCTGATTAACAATTTCTTCCACTTCTTTTGAAACTGCATTCCTTCCAAAAGACAAATCCAGTGCTTCATTGTAGATATTCGTCACTCCATGTGCTCTATAATTAAAAATATAAACAAACCTCCTACACTTTCTCTAACAACCACCACTTTCCTCTAAAGATCAACCATAATAAGTTTACTAAAGGATAATGTTTATGCTCCTTACAAATACATTTAGAGATATTCAAGCAAACTACGATTAAGTGAATTACATATTTATTGAGTGCCTCTTGGATATTTAAATGTGGAATAAGAGATGGGAAATACAAGTAGCAAGCCTTTATCTGGGTTCAGTTTCTTGCTCCAAAGGACAGAGGGAACCCCCCCCCCCAGCTAAGATTACCATTCAAGATAAGGGAAATAAACTCCATGTAATGACTTGGCATATCTGTTTGCAAATTAAAGACAACAAATGCGACTTTTAACCTAAATAACTTCTGCTTTGTATATGAAGTACAAATGAATACCACAATAATGCAAAATTAACCTGTCATACAAATGGAATTAAGAGACTCTCTTCTATACCAATTTATATTATTATTTTCATATTGTTATGTCAGTGTTTGACTGTAAAAATGCTTTACTTAACATGAGAAAATTAACTGCATATTTCCAAGCTAGAGTTATATAACACAAAATATTGCACTCAGTCAAAATATGTGTTGGAATTTTTGATGAAAAATGTCTCCAACATATGTGTGTGTAATTCCACAGTAGGGAAGTATGTTGCTCATGGGAAACGTAAAACAAACAAAAAGTTTTAATGTACAATACTCTATCTTTATTCTTCATTTCTCTGAAGTTTAGAGTTGCATATGTACATGCAGGAATTAAGACACATAATATGTAGGAAGTCTGAAAATGTGGAGGGTGCAACAGAAACTGACCACTATATGTGATTCAAAAACCAAGGAGATCATCAGGCATATAACTATTTAACATGCAATAATACAATATAAAAAGAAAGACTGATACAGAGTTTCAAGAGGATTATTAGGATAAATTCTCGGACAAGTACAGAGGTTTGGAGAAATCATAACAAAATATAGAAAGAATTTAAAATCATCACTAATACTGATGAGCACAAAGCTTAGAAACTAGTTTTCCCATAGTATGATGATGAATGCTCCACAGTATTTATAACACAATATGTAGGAAAGACTGCAATGGTTGCATGTTCCTAGATTCAAACATAAAACATGCTTGGACTTCTGAGAAATAACAAAAAGGGTATATTCAAATGACACACAACATGAGCCTACAATAATAAACAAAATCACAGATACCTCATGATTTGAATAGAGGTATAAAGTATAGACATTATATCAAATTAGGATACACACAGTGAAGGACAAGAAAACTGTGAACTACTTGTAGATTCCCAGAACATTCTGAAAGCATGAATAAACCACTTCAGTACATACAAAAACCTTTTCCTGTGCTTAGTTAAGCATTGAGGGGTGAAGGGACAGCAACACAATCATAAGCTTGGTGCCAAATGGTCAGATTCACAACACTGGCTGCTTTATCCTGGGGAAAGGATTCTGTTATCCAATGAATATGAGGCTGGGAGGGCTCCATTTTCAGTCTGCGTGTGGTGGTGAATCAAAAAGATTTATTTGTTGTAAGGAATCAATCTCAAGTTATCCAGTCCACATCCTGAGCTATTCTAACTTCAGCAAGCTACTATATATTTTACATATACAGATGATGCAATAGTCCCTGTACAATAATCCGATGAAGTTAACATTTCCAAATTAATTTACAGGTTTCAATTTAATTCTGGCAGGTGGCAAACAATTTAATTAACAATCATTAATCAAGTACTTCCTATTCGGAATATGAATGACTACAACGCTGGAAATCCATGATCAGTTGATAATTATCTTTTACATTAAATATAGTAAATGGTACAACAGTTTAGAAGCAACCTTGCAGGAGTGAAATAAATACTCTTATTATGCTGAAACAATGTTATCACAACAAACACACCACAATGACTGACATGGACTCTTACAACTACAGATTAAAATGACACATTTCGCCACAAGGCTAGTCAAGACAATGAATCAACTTTGTAATGAAATAAAGAAGTACCATGCAAGGGGTTTAAGCTGATAACCACAGAAGGCAAGATCACCATGTACTCCACTGATCCCAGAAACTATACACATATGTATTGTTACAGTCCTGGTACCTGTTTACTGAGAAGAGCTGCAGTCCCACTTGAATGTTGCCTACCTTCACTTCATTAACAGCTCCTTTCTCAGTGCCTTTCATGTCTAAAATTAATTCACTATTCTCAATTTGATCAGACATGTCTTCAGAAATTCTCCCATCTTCTTGCTACAAACAAATATTCCATTATATTGGGTATACTTTGATCTGCTGAGAGTAAAATAATTCTCATATATATTTGGTAATACATATTCAGTATTTGTATTCAGTATGCATTAACAAGAAAATTTGTAATAAAATGTGAGACAGTTTGAAACACATATTCTATTTTCAAATTTTTTGTAACTTCCTCAGTGAAAGGAGATGAGGAGGAGGCCAGGGTCTCACTTCCGCAAGCTTATTGCATCAGTCTGCCACGTGACACCACGCTGTGAACATGCATTGTTTTTACACGAGTGCTTTTTCGACTTCATATTTCATTTTCTCAGCGATGGATGGCAAAATCGAGCAACGTGTCTATAACAAGTTTTGCACGAAGCTCAGTAAATCTGCTACCAAAACCCTTGAAATGCTTCGTCAGACTTTTGGAGAACATTCTTTAAGCCAGACAGCAGTTTCTGAATGGTAATCATGTTTCAAGGACGGCTGAGTGTCAGCTGAAGATGACGAATGTTTCGGAGACCAAGCATAAGCAAAATGACAAAAATGTTGAAAAAATTTGAGAACTCTTCGATGAAGACCATCGCTGAACAATCCATGAGCTTGTAGACACCAGTGGTACTGGTTATTGAGTTTACCTGGAGATATTAACAGAAAATTTGAACATGGGCAGCACTGTGTGACTCTTGAAAAATGATCAAAAGCAGCAGCATGTAAACATGTCTTAAGCTACAAGAGAAGGCTAACAAGGACCCAACTTTTATTTCTAGGGTCATAACAGGTGATGACGGCTATGATCCAGAAACAAAGCAACAATCATCGCAGTGGAAGAGTACACAATCACCAAGAGCAAAAAAAGGAGCAGCAGGTCCAGAGTTCAACAAAGAGCATGCTCATTGTTTTTTTCAATGTGGATTGTTCACCATGAATTTGTCCCTCCTAGCACTATGGTCAACATTGACTTCTACTGTGATGATTTGAGCTGTTTGGGAAAAAATGGTGATGAAAAGACTGGAACTTTGGCGCAACCACAACTGGCTTCTTCATAACGACATGCCCACACACACACATCCCTGAAATCCACAGAGTTTGTAACTAACAACATGGTAATCATTCCCCATCCTCCTTACTCGCCAGACTTAGCTCCTTGTGATTTTGCTTTGTCTCCCAAATTGAAAATGAAACTGAAGGGACATTTTGAAACAGTGTCTGACATCCAAACGGAGTCACAAGTGGTATTCAACAGCATTAAGGAAAATGACTGCTTTTGAAGCATGGCAAAAACAATGGAATTCCTGTATATGTCCCCAAGGAGACTATTTTGAAGGAGATGGCAGCCAAGATTGAGTAAGTTAAGCCAGCATTTCTTTTTTGACCTAGTCCAGGAACTACTCATTATTCAAAAACAGAATCTAGAACAAAGTATCATAGTGCCAATAAAGAAAATGTCCACAACAAACATTTTTCATGAATCAACAATTTTCACTAGATACAATGTGTCGGTATTCAGAAGTGAACAGTGGTGTACTGAGAGAACAGAACTGTGTAAACATCTGCCACCCTCTAATAGCATTTTGGTAAAGTTTAATACTCTATTTTACCAGAAATGTTATTCCCCAAATGTAAACAAAGTCTTCATTATGTACTGTGATGAGATGATGAGAAATCATGGTGACTATTTCACTAAATTTTGTTATTTGCATCTAGAACTTCATATATAATATACAACTGACATCTAGTACTAAAGCATAATTATAATTGCAGGATATTAATGCAACGTAATGGCTCTGGCAAAGATACAAACACTGACTGTAACATCATATGTGGCATCCATGGTAGCATTTACAATGAACGAGCAAATAAATAAATATGATGCTTGAAAAAACATTTCTTTCAGTACTTTGTCTTCTCATGAACCTGGCTGAAATGCAATATTAAGACGCCAAATAGTTAACGTCAATATTTCAGTGAAACCGTCTTACAATTCACAGGCATTATGTTTTCAGGAAAGATTGAAACAAATTCCTAATATTAATGAAATAAGTAAAAGGTAAAGCTATCCCTGTTACAGGCCATGTAGGCCCATCAGGTTGTGATATGTCGAGGATCCCACATCTTCTGGACAATGGGCTCATAAATGGTGGTAAGGTTGCCAGCCTTATGCACCTGCTGCCATTTACCCCCCATGAAAATTCCTGGTACTCATTTCTGTTAGAGGCTGAGTCAACCCCAGGGCCATAGTGCAGCTGGAAGGATTAGGTCAATTGAAAGAATCCAATGACTTCATCAGGAATCGAACCCACAACCTTCCAGCTTGTAGCATAGTGCCTCAACCAACTATTACTGCATGCCCCTCAATGAATTAAGTATAAAATTATAATATGCCACTGTGTCCTAATTATTCCCAGTTTCTTTTTGATGACGCAACCTTCTGTTATATGCAGTTAATATGTTTGAGTCACAAGTCACACCTCAAAATTTACCAAGCTGGCATAGTTGTAAGAAATTTCAGTCATACTGAGGAAGCGCCTGGTTTAAATATCATATGGACTGAGTTCAAAGTTATGTTTCTCAGTCTTGCCAGATACAGTATATGCTCGGAGAGTGCCTTGAGACAGGCCACAACACCTTCCTTTCTCATCCCTTCCAATATACCACATACTGTATAATCACCTCAACCTCTCATCTAATTGAAGATCAAATAACCTCTCCAGTCATTACAGCATTAACCTACAAACAAACCAGTAACTCTAGTACAACAATTTTTAATCATTCATCTTAGCATGCAGGTGTCAATCTGAAATATGATGATGTCTAGCACAGCACAAATTCAACATTAACAGGAATACTAGACCAAAAAATACACAAGAAAATGCAAATATAAAACTATTTCATAAACAGCAAGATATTAGTGTGCTTTAATTTGTCACAGTCAAGTAACAGAAATATCAGTTTGTTGAAGTTCATGTGATCTGCAGCAGACTATGGCCGCCAAAAACAGCTCACAAGTTGGAAGAATAGCCAGAGAGATAAATACAGATTATAGCTATCAGAAGGGCACAGCTTGCAGGCAATCAGTGGCAGTAAAGTGAAAATGAAGACTGCACCATAGCTCAAGCAGTTAGTCACTGGCTCCCCACCGTGGCAGCCCAGGTTCAATCCCAGGTCTGGTCAAGTGGGATTTGTGGTGGACAAAGTGGCGGTGGGGCGGGTTTTCTCCAAGTACTTCTGTTTCCCCAGCCAATCTTCATTCCACCAAATTCTCCATCATCATAATCAATAGGCCAATCAGTGGCTGGCGTGCCGAGTGGAACCAGCTGCACTCCACCCCCCACTAAGTGAAAAAAAAAAGTGAAAATGAACCATGATTCCAAAGAATATAGGGATGTTGTACTGTGCACATCTAGGAAGCTATTTCAGGAGTTTAACCTTTTGGCATGATGGCATTTAAATACTGTTCAAAGCCTGATGTAGGAGAACTTTCTGCTCAGCATTCAATTTTTACAAATATCAGCTAGAAAATCAGATTTCTAATGGTCACAAATTCTGTATTTTTATCAAATTTTAATACAATTTTGATAGTGTACTGATGATTGGCACACGGTAGTGTAGTTGGTTGAGGGGCTATGCTACAAGCTGGAAGGTCATAGGTTCAAGTCTGGATGAGATCATTGGATTTTTTTCAATTGACCTAATCCTTCCAGCTGCACTATGGCCCTGGGGTCGACTCGGCCTGTAACAGAAATGAGTACCAGGAATTAATTAAAATGATTTTCCTGGGGAGTAAAGCACGGCCGGTGCATAAGGCTGACAACTTTACTGCCATCTTTGAGCCAATTGTCTAAATAATGTGGGAACCTCAACGTCTCACAACCCTATGGGCTTTCATGGCCTGTTACAGGGATAGCTTTACTTTTACTTTTACTGATGAATGTCTACAGAATGTTTACAATACGTACTACATAACTAGAACAAAATGTGTTTGTTAAGAAAAGGTTTAACATGACTATGAAAATTGCAACTAACAGTATCTTAGAAATCTTCTTGGCATGATACACCTAGAACACTCGTTCACAGACAGGGTCACTTAAAACTTGGGCACTGTCACAATGTTTCTCATCTTTTCCCACATCTGTTGCACACAGCACACTGTTTTGTGAGGTTTTATTTCCTTCCTGTTGGGGTTATTCTACTGAGGAAGGCACTCTGTCAGCCTTACTACTGGAATATTTACTAATAAGCTCTGCACTAAAGCAACTCTTAATCTTAAATGATCCACTTTTCTTTCTACAGTTTGCCTGTACGCTGCCAATGCATTCAACACTGTCACATTTAGTAGTCTACAGAAGAGCTTCATGTATTATTTACTTATATTTCATCTTTCTACAAGGTACATCTGTATCAGCTGGTCTATCCTGTGAATACCTCCCATAAACTTGTTCTATTCCATAACACAAAGCAGATTTTGAACTTGCTGACCTTGCTTTGTGGCGACTGGTCTTGTTTTGTCATTGTGCAACACAGATACCTTTGCTACAGTCTCGCTGCTAGTCCCAATGAAAGACACAGGTTTAGTGTGTTCACCTCTCGTTATTTTCACTCTTTTACTTTTGATGGTACATCCTACCTGTTTAGTTTTAGAGTCCCTGCACAATCAGTTTCTGCGACCTTGGGAATTTAGCCAGATGTCAGAAACTGTAGAAGCTGTACATCCAAATAGCATATCCCTTATGAATGAAACAACTGCCACAGTGTAGAAATTCACAGAACTCTTGCTTTATGTCACTGCTGATCAGAGAGCACTATATTACCATAGCCTTTCCTGTGTAGACAATCAAAGACCACACACATGGCTAGTACTAGACTCACACAATCAAAGATTTTTATACCAATATGTGAGGAAACAGAGAGACGTTCTACTTCAAAAAAGGTATCCTATCCATAAGGATAGTGACTCAACTATGGAAATATTCTGGTGAGGAAGGTAGAGAATTTTAATTTTAGAATTT